AGTAACCCCTGTTACCAGGGTATGTGTAACCCCGTCACATTTAGCACATTTAGCTAATAGCGAAGCCACAAGGAAGTGAGACATTTCGAGCTAGTGTGAGGGCAGTCAAATTCCAACAACCGCTGAGGAGAAGGACAAACAGACTAGATGATTTCTCTGTTTAATATACTTCAATATTTCTTGGTCGTGGAATAACAACGATTACTTATGAAAGAGGCGCCCACTTCCGCTCCCGAGTGGAGCGTACCAAGCCAATTTCTGTGCGTTTGTCAATGCAGGTTCTGTGCAAAATGCACGGAATTTTAAGAATATTGCCATATTCAAAATTGTTCAGTACCTACCCCTTAATTGGAATCGTGGTGTAATCAACAGGCCCACAGATGTGCTCGCGTTCCTATAGTAAGTTCGAAACTTAACCCACTGTATACACGAAGACTGAAACGGTCCAATGTAGCGTGGTTTAAGCCTGTTCTCTAAATTGCAGTCAACTTGTGTAGATAAGTTACTACGTACTGGAGTAGAGCTCTTATTTGATATAGTAATGTAAAGATATTTGCTGTGTTAGTACTGCGTACGATTGCAGTATCTGGTACTTGCGGTCCTGATATTATCAGTACTTGTCGATAGTCCGCTGTCCCATCGATTGGATTACTTAATTTCAGATATCCCCATGCTCTCATAAAGTGTAGCTGATGTTTGTCTATTAGAACGCGAATAATCAAACTAAAAAACATTGAGATTTTTCGTTGTTGTGTAAGGATTCAAGAATGCAACTTTGCGTGTACAAAAGCAGTAATATCATAAAAAAATTGCTAGTAGCTTGTCTAAGCAGCATTGACGAACGCCGAAATGAGAGGAAAAGGACGAGAGCGTAGCTGTTCAAAATTCAAGTCAGCACGAGGTCTGCTTCCTAAGATGTTTTAGTCTCATGTAACCAGTCCAATCACTTTCCGGAACATCTCTAGAGGAAAAGTCTGCACATCTGAAGTCGGTCAATAAAGTTTTGTCTTTTCCTGCTTGATGGCATCCTGTATTTTTTCACAAGGGCTATCGCATCATCACCAAGGTTTTCAGCGGCAGAACAATGAAGAAGAATCTGCTCGTCCGTTAGATTCTTTCTCAATGTGGGCAACACAGATGTACCAACGTCAGCTTTTAATTTTGCTGCGTCCATCACCCACCAGCTGAAATTGGAGCTCTGGCCGATGATCGCTTTTTTCAAGTGCGATGTATCCATCTGTACTTGCATAATATAGTCCACTAATTCTTTCATAATTGCCATCGTGGTTTTAGTTTTAGCGTTGGCTACCGCGTAACCAATGTCATTGTAATTCAACCCTTGCTCCTCCAACTTGAAGAGTAAAACGCTGGCAGCAGATTTCCCCTCCTGTTTAGGCAGAGAAAAGTACCATTTCTGTACGCTCGGAAACTCAAAACGGTCAGCTATTTCCATGTCGCTGCTGATGCTTTCAACATAGAGTTCACCTTCTAGTAGCTCACCAATAGACCTTGAGTTATCATCTCCCCTCTTCAGTTTATGACTGAGGTAAAACAGCGAGTCTTCTAACAATTTAGTCTCACTTTCAAAGCCCTTCGTCTTTCTATACCAGGCGAGTTTCTCCAACAGCGCGCCTTTAAAGTCATCACTGAAAGCTAATTTGCCATTGACAACCTCAGCAGTCTTAATGGAGTAGATCAGTGTGAGTTTATCGACTTTCCACAGTGCGTCCACCATGAGGGAAGCCCCCACTTTTGGATTATCTGGAAAGGCGTCCGCAAAATATTTCGACCAAGTTTGGAACTCTTGGCTACTAAAGAGATCCCTCTTAACCTTGTCAACGTGCGCATTCTTTAGCAGTATCAAAGCTGCACCTTGCTTTTCTGAGACGTCTCTCAGGTAGATATGTGGCATTCTTCTCCCATTCTGCTGAGAAGACAACACTGGCTGAATAGTGTTGTCGTCAACCAAATTATTGTTTTTGCTGCTAATCGGTTCAAACAGGAGTTTACCTTCTATTCGCTCGCCAATTTCCTTCGAGATAGCGTCTGCCTTCTGCAGGTTATTACTGAGTTTAAACAGCGCGTCGTCAAGACGATCAGCAAAATTCTTTGTATTCTGAACACTCTTAGCGTTGGCAAGAAAGTTTATCAGCGCGTCTTCAACACCAATGCTAATATTTAATTCGTATCCGTTAAGGTTAGCACTTGGAATGGAGTTGATCAGTATGTCCTGTCCGTGCTTGGTCAGCACCGACACCATAAGCTCTCCTCTTAAATTGTAATCGTTTGGGAAGGCTTTCTCAAAATATCCTGACCATTTGTAATACTCATCGCTCTCGAAGAGATTCGTCTTGACCTTGTCAACGTGCGCTTTTTGAAATAATTTGTAGGCTGCTGCCTCTTTGTCAGAAGCGTTTCTCAAGTAGATATGTGGTATAAAGAACATCATGGCCTTAGATGATGCAATCTTTTTCACTATGTTTGACAGATTGAAGTGAGATACAAAGCGTGAAAGCAGCCCCGCCTCTTCTCCAGACACAACAGATGCACCTCTCTCCTCCAACAGCTCCGACGATGGATCCATGGTCAGAATTCTTCCGTGTCGCTGGGCCATCGTACGCTTATAGCTCACCATCTTGGCCTTCAATTGAGATATCTCACTGTAGGCCAATAAAGTAATTCATGACAGGAAAAGGAAGCAGAAACGACGTGAAATGTTGTTTGCAGCGGTCATCGGTGCCCAACGGACTTGGATTCTTTAAATATAATCGAGGAATGAGTGCAAGAACAAGATTCTTCTTACTAACTCTATACAAATTCTGTGATGATGCAGTTAGCACAATCGACAACATATTCCAGTATCAGAGACTAGGTGTGTTTATCCTACTGCTTACATTTCGTTTATGGCATTATTAATGCTCTTGTTGTCAAAACGTGGGGTAGGGAGTAACAGAGAGCGAACACTTTGATGGTCTATGAAACAATACATACAACCACACAATTGTGTAAGTGTACGAATTTCATAGCAGTTTTGCTCGTTTGTGAACTCATGAGTATCGAAGTATCATTATATATGTAGATGATGTAATATGAATTAGGATTCAGTAATTTTAATTTTTTCGTGTAAGAGAGGTCGAGTAATAACTATTATCTAGCTTGCACTGTTACTTCACGAGTGCATATAC